GGATTCTGGGGGTTGAAGTCCACTCATCTTAAAGTGGCCAAGTTTGGACAACACTGGTGTAGGAGATGCCAACAAGAGTCCAACAGCTGCACGTGGTTTCCTCTTGTGAGCTGCTCACTCCCTGTGACGGAGGTAGACGGGTGTCGATGCGGCTTCTTCATGAACAGCGTTCCTTAGCTCAACATGCCTGAGCAATTAATTGATATTGACGTGAAGCTAAATTGCCCATAGTAGAAAAAGAGCTGCTGTCAGAGTCTGCATACTCAACCCCTGGAGAAGCCTTCCTCTGTGTGTGCGCTTGAACTCTGTGCCCGGTGGCTGAGTTCATGACTTCACATTGATCCCAGTTCTCAAAAGGATGCTCACGTAGTTAGTATCGTGAAGTCTAGAGGTTTGAAAGGAGGACACTAGACTGAACAGAAATGGATAATATTATTTGAAAACCTGAAAGGGAAGGGGCAATGTTTTGTCTTGGATATCACACTGAATCGGGGAAATGTTGGAACATCTCCAAGCTCAGCTCCAAGGTGAGATTCAGGGTTGGACTCCATCCGCTCCCAGGAACTAGGTCAGGCATCACACTGAGTTACAGTGCGGGAGTTTTTTTCTTTCAACATAGCATTTTGTGTGAACCCTGCCAGTGTGGTTTGTAAACCAGGGTCTGTAGCTTAGCCACCTTCTGTTTTGGTGTTCCCCATATAACTAGAAATGTAAGGCATGTTCTATGGAAATATAGAGTGTTTTGTCCAGGGTAATTCTGCTCAGACTTGCAATGGTCTTCCATTAGCCGTGTGACCCATCGGGGCAAGTATGGGTCAATATATTATTTCTTGTTCCACCATAGTAATGTGGCTTGAGGATACTGTAGACCGCAGCAGGGTGACAATATGTTACCCTGGAACCATCCAAGATGTCGTAGATGTGTGGAATCAACACTGATACTATAATATCCCTATCCTATGAGGAAACTTTCTTGATTCAGAAGATGGGGTAGAAATTTTATATACGCACCCATCATCAGCAAAACATAATATCTGATAGTGTTTCATAAAGGTGGAACATTATACAGTAATGTGCTACTGTGTCTGCCCCAATGCTTGAAGCAATAACCACATTTATTTTAATAGCTTTTATTAGCAGATAACCATGGGTGTTGGAGAAATGTCTGTGCAGTAGAGATCCCCCAGATTTTCAAATTCTCTTTTATTACTTGCTTCTCTTTCAAATTGGGTCTCCCTTTCAGTTGCAAATGGATATGCTGGAGTTGCCAGCATCTCTCTCTGGAACACCTCTCCCTGCTATAAATAAACGTTGCCTAATTTAACTAGCTGACTAAAGTGCCACTTGAAATGGATGCTACTTTGGATAAAGAGAGACAACTGAGCCTTGTCCCTCAACCAAACCTTGATCCACATGGGAAGGGGACAGGGGCTTGAAAACACCAGACGCAGCTCAGGCTTGGAGACCACAAGCTGCCCCAGTCCTTCCAGTATTGTATGTCCAGCATCATGTCTTGAACAGTTCCTGGAACTGAATACCACCAAGTTGGCTGCTTCCTTGTCCACGACTTGTGACAAACCCTGTTTGGGTCATGTCGGGATGCATGGTTTAATTGCTTTTATTAGGAGGAGCCTATGGAATGTATTGATAGAAAGCAGTTCCACTTCCTCTGCCTTGAATTAGAGCTGAACATCAATTAAACGTTGTGTTTTGTGTGACAGATGAGGGTTGGCCAAGTCATCTTGTCTAGCAGTTTTCACTGCTGTAGACTGCTTGGTTTCTCCATGTGCCAGATAGCCTGTATAGGGAGAATTAAAATCAGGAGATGTTAAGTTTCTCAGATACTGACTGCAACCTTGATTAAGAAGCCATATTAGTAGCTTCGTTGTCATACCGGCATCAGTGGCATCCTAATCTTTTAAAATCCTGCATTTTCTCCCCCTCATCTGGAACTTATTCCTCAAGCTCGCTTCCCTGGTGAGGCTCTATCCCCGCTGGTTTTTCTGAACCTGCCCAGGCTGACCTGAGCAACGAATGCATTCCCGTGTTGGCATCAGGCATTCCCTCCTCACTCTGTGAATTTGTTTCTCTCGCAATTTAAGGTAGCCTTTGGCAGGAGACTTACTCCTAAGCTTCTGAATTTTATGAACAGGATCCGGGTATGCACATGTCACCATGCTTTTAATTTGCTGCTCAGTATAAAAATAGAATCCTGGAGGGTGAGTAGCCTGTCTGAGTGTCTCAGTTGCAGAAGGCCTAGAAAGTGAGAGAGACTTCCCTGGAGCGGCACTTGGCTGCGGTGGAAAGTTGGCTAAGATAGTTCATGTCTGCTTGCAAAGATGGTGAGGCACAGCTTCTCTTGCAGGCTTATTATTATTATGGTTGAGCGATAAATTGGCACAGACAGGCTTTGAATGTGTATTTATTTAGAATATTTTTATAATTGTCCAACCCAAATACGGTGATTCTGTATAAAATCATTTACCAAAAGTACAAAAGAAAAATAACACGTACCACTAAAGCAATTTGAAACAATTAACAGTAAAAGATGTTCAGGACTAAAATAGGTTATATCTCACCGAGACTACTACTCATCCTGACCCAAGCACACAAGGAAAGGGCCAGGTCTCAACTGTCTTTTGAAAGGCCTCCAGGGTCAGGACCAACTACATATTGGGGTTTGGAGGGGAAAGATGGTTCCAAATGTCAGGGACCGGTACCAAGAAAACCTGCCTCTTGGGCCCACAAGATGACATTGTTTCTGAGAAGGGACTCAGAATGTTTCCTCTCTGTTGGAGCACGTGGGATGGGCAGATCCTCTTGGGAGAAGGCAGTTCTGCAAATAACCTGGTCCTAAGCCACACAAGACTTTAATGCTGAAAAACAGCACCGTGAATTTCACCTGGAAGTCTATAGGGAGCCAGTACAGTTTGTGGCGTAGAGGTACTATAGGGGTGTAATGGGGAACACCCATAACTACCTGTGATGTTGCATTCTGGACCAATTGAAGCTTCCAGATGGTCTTCAAGAGCAGCCCCATGTAGTGTGCATTGCAGTAATCCAGTTGGGAGTTGGGTAAGGTATGAGTTACTATAACCAGTTCCCTCTGATCCAGGAACAGGCACAATTGGCGCACAAGTTGGGCAAAGGCCCCCTGAGCACAGCTGCCACCTTCTCTTCAAGCAGGAGCTCTGAATCCAGGAGGACCTCCAAATTGTGCACTAAATCTGAATGGGGTAGTATAACCCCACCCAGGTCAAAGATGAAATCTCTCCAGGACCCTTGGGGCCCCAAACCCACAGCCACTCAGGCTTGGTAGGGTTCAGCCAAAATATGTTCTTCCCCATCCAGACTTGAGGTACCCCGCAAAGCAGCAGTCTAGGACTAGATTCCTAACCCCTCAGTCACCAACTGGAATGGCCCTGGGAGAAGGAGGAGAACCACTGCAAAGCATTGCCCCCCCCCCTCCCAACCCCCTAAAGTGGTCCAGAAGGCATAGTCAGTGGTATTGAGCGCCACTGAGAGTCAGGAAGGGCCAGGACGGGTGCATTACTCACATCCTGAGCCTGCCACAAGTAATCAACAAGCACGACCAAAGGTTTCTCTGTCCTGGTCTGAAACCTGGCCAGAAGGGGTCCACTTCCTCCAGGACCCTTTGGAGCTGTAAGCCAACCCATCTTCTCAACTTTGCAAGAAGGGAAGGTTGGAGACTAGGCAAAAATGGTCCAAATCATCTGGATCCAAGGATGGCTTTTTGAGGAGGGGGCAGATCAACAGGCATTTTTCTCTAGCGTTTGCCTGCATCATCTAGGCAGGACCGAACTCTCTCTCTCTCTAGGCTATTTCTTTGTCATGCTAATGCATTTATTAGGTATAATATGGCAATTTGTTGGCGTCCCAGATTCTGCAGGGAGTTGTTTCCAGTTTCCCTGGGCTACACATTTGTAATGCGCGGATATCTGTGTGCGTGTCTATACATACATCCTTCCATATACCTCTCAAGCTCGTGGTTGTCCTGAGGGAGTGCTACCTCAATCTGCAACCCAGATGAGGAGGAACTGTTGAGAGGTGAACGCTTGAAGGAAGGCTCCCCTGCTCTTCCCAAGATAAAATTTCGCTTCTCTTTCTCGCCCTCCGTGCTGCAGCTGAGCGAGCCCTGGACACCATGAACTTTGATGCGATCAAAGGGAAGCCCATCCGCATCATGTGGTCTCAGCGGGACCCGTCTTTGAGAAAATCCGGAGTGGGGAACGTCTTCATTAAGAACCTGGATAAGTCCATAGACAACAAGGCACTTTATGACACATTCTCTGCTTTTGGGAATATCCTGTCTTGCAAGGTGAGTCGTAGCATCTTTCCTGGACTCCAGGGAGCTGGTCTTTGGAGCTGGCTGGGTCTCATTCCTGGTGGCATCAAGCACAAAGGGACGGGTTTGGTAACAGCCAGGCGAAATGGATTCTCTCAGTGTTTCTCCAGTGTTTCATATAATCGCTTGGTGGGTTTTGCCCTCTCAGGAGAAAAGAAGAGACAACTTGTTAAAAAATCTTGTCGGTCTTTGCTTTAAATCAAAGTTGAGCAGCCTTTTTCTTACAGAGGTTCACATTTCTCGGAGCTAATCCCTACTTTGAAATACGTTTTCATGAGAAGCTTGGTACTTTTAAAAAATGGAAGTCTGCAAAGTAGTTAAGGGCTGAAATAAATGGTGAATATGGCCAGTGATGAAAGAGGATTTTCTTCCTCTGCAGGGAAAGGACAGCCAGGTGAACTGAGCCCAGAGGCTTTGAAATTAGCCTAAGGACCACTTTAGACATTGAACTATATGCAATTGTAAATAGTGATTTACAATTGCATTCACAATGGAGGTGCAAACCACCTTGCAGAATTTGCATCTTCCATTTCTCCAGCGTCCTTGGGAAACACTTAATGTGAAATAAATGTGCATGTCGATGCTGGCTACTCAAACCCAGTTGCTTACAGGTGGTGTGTGACGAGAATGGTTCCAAGGGCTATGCCTTTGTGCACTTTGAGACACAGGATGCTGCAGACCGCGCCATTGAGAAGATGAACGGCATGCTGCTGAACGACCGCAAAGTGTGAGTGTCTCAGCCAGAAGCTGAGACATGATGCATCTCAGTATTAACCCACCAGGCTGCTGGTTCTCCTGGCCCAAGCTTTGGCCTGCTGCCTGTCTCCTCCAGGGCTGGTGAGTTTCCCTGCCCGAGCCACAGCCAACATCCCCTGATATGGGGTCTGCCTTCACTTGACGCCTCCCTGCTGCTGGGCTGGGTTGGCTCCCTGATGCATTGTCCTACCCAGCAGTGAGTGGCTCTTCTTGGCCGGCTGCCTCCCTGCTTCAGGACAGGGGATTCTTCAGCTTGGTCTTGTGTCCTCTTTTGAAGTCTGCCCTCCTCCTTCCCCTCCCCTCCCCGCCCCCGGCGCTGCTTGCTTTTGCCTTTCTGCCCTGAAATCATGCCTTGCCTTTCTCCTGGTGGCAGGAGCAGAGCATTCACCAGGGCTGTCATTTTTTTGCCATCCAGATTTGTTGGCCGATTTAAGTCCCATAAAGAACGTGAGGCGGAGCTGGGAGCCAAAGCCAAGGAGTTCACCAATGTCTATATCAAAAACTTTGGGGATGAGATGGATGATGAGAGACTGAAGGAGCTCTTCAGCAATTATGGTGGGTCTTCTAGAAAGTGATCTTTTATGAAGATCCCTCAGGAAATCACCTTGGCTTTTTTCTTTGGGAAATGTATGTTTGGGGTCTTAGACAGTTCAGTGAAAGTCAAAGTACAGGTAGTCCTCACTTACTGACCATTCATTCAGCAACCATTCAAAGTTATGACAGTGCTGAAAAAATAACTTTATGGCCCATTCACAATCATTTATGACCTCCTCAGCGTCCCTCAGTCATGTGATCACTATTACAGTCAGTATGCGTTGTCCTGTGCCTGAGGTGTGTTTTTTTCTCCCCCCCAGTCCTTGCAGAGCAGAGAGATTGGTGAAAAATGGATTGCAAGAGAGTAAGCTGTTTGCTCTTCTACACATCAAAAACAATGTGATCCTGTCGGCAACTTGGGGCTGGGAGCTGCAGGGGGACTATGCAAACAGCTTACAGTACTCTCTTGAAATCTCTTCCTCTCCAGTCTCTCTGCTCTGCAAGGGGCGGGGGCGAGAAAAAAAGCAAGCAATTTCTGTAGGCAATCTCTCCTTCACCTGACCCTTTTCCACTGCTGGTGCAATCACGTTGCTTTTGATGTGCAGAAGAACAAACAGCTTTCTCTCTTGAAATCTCTTTCTTTCCAATCTCTCTGCAGGGCGGGGGGATCAGGCAAAGGAGAGATTGCCTACAGTGATCGCATTGCTTCTGATGTGCACAAGACAGTAAGCAGGCACTGGAGCATTCCAAAGTGGGGGGAGCAGTTAGGAGGCAAACAAAAGCTGGAGGTGTGAAACTGAGTAATCTTGTCTCTTTCCAGCCAGAAAGCACAGTTGCAGTCATGTGATTTCCCACTTATCAACCACTTTACTTAGTGGTGGAGTTGCCAGTCCCAATTAGGGTCATTAAGTGAGGACTACCTGTATTTTATTTCGCCATTGACCAGACTAGAGTAACAGAATAACAGAGCAGAATAAAAGTAATAAAATAAGATTAACAAGATAAAATGAGTTAAAAGACAAATAAAGGTAAATAAGCACATAATCAAATCAAACTGTTCCTGGCAAGGTCCTGATGAATCCTGCCAGCTATTAAACAGAATTTGGTGATGTTATAAGGCAGTATGTCATTCTGCTCAGCTAGGAGGTAATTAAGGGAAAAAGAGTCAGTGCACAGAGACTGTCTAGTGTTCCAGACAGTTTGCAAGTGGGCACTCTGATGTGGACTAGGTTTGGGAATGATCTGTTCAGGATTGGTTTTCAACTTGAAAGGTTCTCTTTAAAATTTTGCTCCAGGTAGTATTTGCTAATCCTGTTCTTCCAATAACAGGTAAGACCCTCAGTGTTAAAGTGATGACTGACCTGGCTGGGAAGTCCAAAGGCTTTGGCTTCGTGAGTTTTGAGAAGCACGAAGAAGCCAGCAAGGTATGAACCACGAGGCTCCCGCATGCACAGCCGATCTGGCATGGTGTGTTTTTAAACCGAAAAAGAGCTCTGGTGATCGTTGCTCAAATAAAATGAGAGCAGATCCCTTTATTCTGGATCTTCTGTCAGCTGCCTACTGTGATATAGCAAAGAGCAAATCTGCGGGCAAATTCAGTGATGGTTCCCATTGTATTACCAAAAGACAGCTGTTCAACAAACCAGGAATTTCTGGGTATTCCAGCCAACAGCCCAGGTATAGTGATAAGACCTTGTCCTTCAACAAGAGAACTGAGTGCTGCTCAGTTACGTGAGCACCCGGAGAACCATATGATTCCTAGCTCACTGGTTCCAGAGGTGGTTAGTCCAAAATTAACAGTGGCATATATAATAATAATCAGCACCATGTTTCTGAGGGAGACTCCATGTCTCCAAGGGATTTGTTGCTTTGAATTCTTTTATAGGCAGTAGAAGAAATGAATGGAAAAGATATCAATGGGAAAATTGTGTTTGTGGGTCGTGCACAGAAGAAGGTGGAACGTCAGGCAGAGCTGAAACGCAGGTTTGAGCAGCTAAAGCAAGAGAGGATCAGCCGTTACCAGGTACTTTTCATCTGGTGGAAGGAATGTGCTCCCAAGTTAGAAAGTGCACGCGCATTTGAGGGACCATTGTTGGGGTGGGCTATGTCTTAAATTGCTCTTTGTGCTCTGCTGGAGTCTGAAGTCCTGCAGCTACTGGATCAGCAGCCGTGTGAAGCTTGAGTTCCCTTGGGATTCCCTGACATCCAGTTTGGGTATTGCTGAACTCCCTCAATGGAGAGTTGAAGCAATCTGTGGGGAAAATAGGATCCAAGGAATGGGCCCGGTGGGAGATGCATCTGAATCTTTCATGCTCCTTGCTGTGCAGTGCAGGCCTGGGGACAAATGGTGCTACAGAAATGCAGAGCAAATCCAGGCAAGTTCATATTTTCTTATAAAGAAACTTGTCTCTACAGCTTTGCAACATTTCAGTGTTTTTTTCCGCAAAGGACATGGCATTCCATATTTATTTATTTATTTGTCAGATTTCTAGGCTGCCCAACTCCAAATGACTGTGTAATTATTGCATGTTTTGGGGTGATTGTCGATAGAAAAGAAAATCCTGCTTTGCGCATAATTAATTGAAACGAATATCACATTTTGTGCTGTTGCCATCTCATGCTAATATCTTTCTTTCCTTTTCAGGGAGTTAATTTGTATATCAAGAACCTGGATGACACAATTGATGATGAGAAGCTGAGAAAGGAGTTCTCTCCTTTTGGATCTATCACAAGTGCTAAGGTAAAGGCTGCAGGGAATTAGGCAGACATCGAGCAAGGGACCCACAGCTAGAACTCCCTCCAGAGTTGAACAGTTGGACCAAGCACTGTCCAAATTACTTTAAGGTGTGCTCAGCTCTGTGGGACTCACTTTGAAGCAACTGGCCCAGAATGAGGCTTCAGACCTATCGTGACATTGAGTGAGTGAATGAAAGTGGAAAATCAGGCTCCTTTTGTAGAAATAAAGCAGGTGAATGGGAATCAAATGTGAAAAGCTTGTGAGGGAATTTAGTTCTGCCACCATGGACAGCTGATGAAACAGCTGAGCTTCAGAGACAAGAAATTAAGAATTTGAACAGGCAGCCCAGTTCAGCAAAAGGCCTGGGTGATATCAATAAAATAACTCAAATGTGAAATTGCTGCTTTTTAAATAAAGTATACAATTCATCACTCTGTGGCCAAAGTAATGCCAATTTTTAAAAGAGGATCTGGGAAATATATTCTTTCTAATCAATTGTTGAAAGAAATCATTAAAGAAAAATTTCTCAAATGTATTGAGGGGCAAGTCTTGCTAATTAAGACTCAACATGGTTTCTACAAATGTAGTTTAGTTTAACGATAAGTGATGCGTGTGTGCCTAGAGATCTTAATTTCCCTTTATGCTCCAGGCACCTGAGCCAGCAGAAACTAAGGTTGGGCAGGGTTGGAGAGGGGAAGGTAGAGAGGCAAGTCACAGTTCTATAGAAACGTTTATCCAGCATTGTCTGTGAAGAAGGAAAATTCCATGGAGGTGGTCACTGGAAAAGCATTATAAAATACAATTGTCACCACACTTGGAACACTATTTTGGCCACTGCATCCCAGAAAGGATATTGTACAGGTGTAAAACATGCAGAAAAAGAGAAACAAAATACAGTGGTACCTCGGGTTACGAACGCCTCTGTTAACGAACTTTTCGGGTTACGACCAGCTCTGGC